CGCTCTTTAGTTCGCTGTCTTTTCATTTTACTTGTCTGTACTTGGTTAGTTTTACAAGTTTTAGTTCTATTTATTAAACTTAGGAATTTTTAAAATTCTTCCTTTTATGCTTAGAAAGTCATTTGCCGTAGCATGGTCAGCTGTCCATCTGTATTTTCTCTAGTAGTTTTATCATTTTGTTTTTACACATTTTTCAGTCCAGCCAAATTGATTTATATTTTGGTAAATGGTACAAGGTCAGGGCCGAATTTTAGATTTTTTTTCCCTAACATTTAAAAATAATCTCTCTTCCCACACTGATCCATGGTGTAGTCTTCATCATTATACTGAAATATTTAGAAACCAGAGCATGTTTCTGACCTACTGTTCTGTTCCATTGACCAGTCTGTCAGTTCTCATGCCAGTTGCACATTATTATTGCTGTTACCCATCTAAGTGAGATTTATAAAACCTCCTCTTATTAAGTGAAGATAATTCTGTTTGGATTTGGGAGGAAAAAGCTCCCCCCTTGGAGAAAGAACACAGGTGTTAAACAGCTTGTCCTAGGTTTCTTAGCCTGTGTGGTCTCTAATGCCTTGAAGTATTTTGAAACTGTAGCAGAAACACGTATGGTTTTGTAGGGGCCCAGTTTCATCCATGCCCACCTGTCGCTTGTTAGTTTTGGGGGCACTGCAAGTGGGAGCTTCTCTCTCAGCACGCGTGCCGTGGTGCACCAGCACGGCATTCTGTGCACTGGGGTGTCACTGTGTTTCCAGTGCAGGAAATTACCTAAATAAGCTCTAATACTAGCATTTAAACGTTTTGCTTACAGCTTTACGAGAAGTGATTCATTAATGAATTATTTCAAAAGTCTGTGGTTAAATATAAAAAACCAGTCCTTGTTCTCAAGAATTACGCTCCAACATGGAGAACATGAAAAAGAGCTGCAGGCTGTGTTTATCCTGTGAGCTACCGAGTCACACCTGGCTTCTTAGACAAAGGCCTTGCCCATCGGAAGACAGAGTTCCTAGACCACATCCTGGCACTGGAGGGAGAGATGAGTGTGCAGCCAACTTGACTGTTAAGTGCAGATGTTGGAGAAAATCTCAGGTTTAATTTTCTAGAATAAAGCTGGTAACATTAGCTACCTGTATTTAAATTGTGTAAAACTTCAGTGTATGAAACGGAACTATGAAATATGACATCTGTAGCTAGGAGCAAAAGTGACATAAAAAACTGGTCCTTAAGAGATAATCCTCAACATTGCATTGCTGTCTGTCAACAAATGACTAGAGCAAACGAACACTTAATTTTGCTCTTCATTTATGGTTAATTTGGTGCTCGTTTTTCGTAATTATGAAAACAGTATAATAAGGAAGCTTTAAAGCTGCTGATAAGCCTGTAACATCCCCTGGAAGTAAACAAGGAGGAGTATTCAGAATAGGATTATAAACGTCTGGTCGTGGTTTGGTTTTGTTTCTGTTTCGTAGGTGTACCTTTATCTACACAGTGGGGGCCTCAAGGCTATTTCTACCCAATCCAGATTGCACAGTATGGCTTAAGTCATTACAGCAAGAATCTGACGGAGAAGCCGCCTCGCGTAGAGGTGTACGAAACAGCAGAAGGAAGGGACCGAGACAGCCAGCCCAGTGCCTGGGCTGTGCCGAAGGGCTGCTTCGTGGCTAGCGTGGCCGAGGAGTCCAGGTTCACCAACGTGAAACAGTTCATTGCTCCAGGTGAGTGACCTGCTACACGTGTTTGCTGAATTTTACGTTGGTTTTTGAAGCCTGATACTCCCTTTAAAGTATTTTTATGGTTTTAAAAAACACATTAGCAGACCTTGGTATTACTTGGATAGAGAAACAAATGGTGTCACCACCCAGTGAAATCTCTAAAAGGGATCAGCTGGAAAATTCAAGGTTGTATGAGGACTGTTTACTGTGTGAGGAGCCAAGCCGCCAGCTGAGCAGTAAGCACCAGGGCGCTGCTCGTGTCTGTCCCTCCAGGGCTCTGTGCCCCTGGGAACGAGGCTCTTGTTTGCTTCAATATTTAAGCACAGGATTCTTTCTTTAATTTTTAAACTGCTTTGCACTGAGGTAGAAATTTTTCTTTGTAGAGAGAAACCATCCTTTCCTTTGCCTATTTTTTACCAGTACCTTTTTATTTTTTTCAAGGTGAAACAGCATTACCAACCAAGCCTGCTTCCTGTGTTGGACTTTGTTAATGTACTAGATTGTTTCAAACTTCGTATAAAACATTTCATTAATAAAATCTTTTATAAAATCAAATTAACTTTATGCAGCATTTCCCCTTTTACTGAGACAGTCTCATTAACTGAATGTAATGTATTTTTCTCCGCTAATCAATATCCATGAGAATTAATGAGTTCATTACTTTAAAAGATAATGAAATAATTTTAGTTAGCACCTCAGGCTTAGTTTTCTGTAGGAAATGTTGTCAAGAGCAGGACTCGTCCTCCCACCAGCCTGGCCAGCTGGCAAGTGAAGGAAGGACGAGGTCATGGGACCTCGTCTGTGTGCTCACCTTGTTCCTTGCCGGGGGCTGTGTCATTCACATACCTCAGAGCCACAGTGCAGACCTGCTCACCCTGGACGGCCTCACGTGACGGGCTGAGGGGTGCTTGATGCTGTGCAAACAGCGGGTGACCTTTGGTTTTCATCCTGTGACTGAAGCGCCCTTTCTCCTCTGGCGTTCCGGGGTATTCCAGTACATGAGCACCTTTGCTTATTTAAAGCAGCAGGCTTGGCTGGGTGAGAAGTTCCACGGGGAAGTTCAGGAATATTTAGCTTGTGATTCGCAGCAGGAAATGATGAGACTGAAGGAGACGTTCAATCTGGGGTGCATCCAAGGCACTTGTTTTCACACTAATTCATAATGTGGCCTGGGTTAGGTGGAGCACAGCTGTCCTCGTCTTGACCTCCTCAGGTGCTGGGGAGTTTTCTAGAACCGTCTCTTGACCCCTGTCCTATTTAGAGCAGTAGCCTTCACTGCGCACTTTTGGACACCCTGGTTAATGCAAATGGCAGGTCTCCTTGTACTGAGCGAGGGCCCTTCACTTCAGCCGTCCTGCAGCTGATAACCAGAGATACGGATACTTCTTAAGGTGGTTTTAAGCATACGGAGGAGAGAGCGTGGTGGCAGCCACTCCGCCGGTGGGCCGTGAGCTACTCACGGCTGGGACTCTGTGCTGTGGGCGTGGGCCAGCTGGGAATGGGCAGCTGGTGTTGCAATCGAGGGTGTGCCTAGAGTTACATTTGATACAAGAGAGTGAGCTGGAGTTGCTGCTCAGAACAGGAGGGAGGGATCAACGAGGTGAGACTGAGACACAGGTATGAGAAACGAGACTTTGTAGAGGACACAGGCTTCCCGGGAGATAAATGCAGAGAACCGTTGATGAGAAGAGACTGGAACTTGGACACACAAGCACAGGCCTGAGTGAGGTGAGGCTCCGGAGGTCCAGGCTGGATGCTATAGGCCTTTTTCTTTTTTGGCCTTGAATTTTTTTTCCCTGAAAGGAAACAGAATCTTCTAGAGAAAAGAACCATAACATGGGTCTGCAGCATATTTGTTGTTGTTGAATAATGGTTTTTTTCCTCTACTTGATTTTTAAATTGAATGAGTTGAAATTTTATACTTTCCCACTCTGCTAAATCAGCTTCCCTTCCCTTCCCCTGTCACTCCATCTCCATGGCCTCTGGGGCCCGTCTTCCTCACACTGCTCCTGCCTGGCCCTCGTCTCTCTGCTCCTTAAGGTCCTGAGTAAGGCCTCGCCTCACTCCACATAGTGAGCCCGTTGAGTAAGTGCCTGGGAGCAGTTCGGGTTGTATGTGAAAACACTGATTTAAAGACTCTTCTTAGATGCTCACTGTCCTTCGTCGCCTGGAGTGCATGTGCGTGCGCCGTGTGGACCGCAGGCAGACACTCGGAGGGGCCTCTGGGAATACCTGTTCAGAGAGAGGAGTCGCGGATCTCAGCGTCAGGAAGCGCGCGAAGCCGCCTCCTGGTGTTTTACAGCCCAGGGCTCCATGTAGCTTCGGCCCCTCTGGCAAGGCTCAAAACCTCCCCTGGTGTATTTCCAAAGTGGTTGCTACTATTCTGA